AAGAGGAAGCCCGGTAGTATAAGAACATGTTGATTTCAATCTCAATTTGAAGTTAAAGCACAAATTAGGACCACAGTGAGTGTCTGTAATTGCAGAGATGTGCTGTAGAATGGCGTGTGTTCTTTTTCTGAAGCTATTCCTGAAAAAGATAAATGAGGCATGATGGTGTACTTTTTCATTGGTTGGATTTTCAATATATCATTTGTAATGAACCTAAGGTGGCTTGAGAGATGAAAGACTGATACATCTGAAAATGGAGATACCAAAATGGTCTCTCTATGCAATGATAAGCAAAAGTAGTTGAATTCATCAGGATAGCATAACTATGAGAAATAGAAAGACCATATAATAATACTGTTGTAAAAGAGCTAGAACTCCACAAAAATCAAGTAAAAATGTGATAACTCAAAAGAGATTCTGAAAAACATGATACCTGAATGCACATTCCTACCATCCTACCTTCTCAATCCCACTCATATCCTCAACTACTGCTCCTGAATGAAGCATTACTGAGTAGATTGTTAAGGTCTCAGACTGCTGGGTAGGGAGGCAATGAGGGTACAATTAAGTATAGTACTATATCAACTCTAAGTTAAGAACAGTTGCTCTAGTACTCTTACTCTAGTAAGGTTGTTTTTTTTTTTAATGTTTTTATTTATATTTGAGAGGGTGGGAGGCAGGGTGCAAGCAGGGGCAGGGCAGAGAGAAAGGGAGACACAGAATCTGAGGTGGGCTCCAGGCTCTGAGATATCAGCACAGAGCTGGACGCTGGGCTTGAATCCACAAACCATGAGATCATGACCTGAGCCAAAGTCCAACACTTAACCGACTGAGATACCCAGGCACCCCCAAAGCTGTGCCAATTTGCTTCTATCCCTCTGTAACGCATCACACCTTTTCTCCTAATAAAATCATAAGCCTTTGCCTTTTTTGAGGCAGACTCTGTCCTGATAAGATTACCACATGGGCTAGCCAAACGGAATGCACTGTTTCCACAGATAAGTAGTTCTTAAATAGAGAACACTCAGAAGTAGTTGAAGCAAAACTAACTCAGGCTGAAGTTTTTCCACACAAAAGCTTGAGGCCAGAATAACAGAATCCCTTCTCCCCAAACCCAACTGTAACCTGGAATCTGGGGGAAAAAAAAGAAAGAAAAAGAAAGAAAGAAAGAAAGAAAGAAAGAAAGAAAGAAAGAAGAGACAGAGGAAGGAAGGAAGGAAGGAAGGAAGGAAGGAAGGAAGGAAGGAAGGAAGAAGGAAAAAGGAAGGAAGAAAAAGAAAGAGAAAGAAAGAAAGAAAGAAAGAAAGAAAGAAAGAAAGAAAGAACATGTACGCAGAAAGTTTACCTTCTTTTAACCAGATGGATGTTTGGGGACTAAGTGTGGAGAGTCCTGGGATGCAAATTAAATACTGAGGTTCCTGGAGAAAGCTCCATCTGCACAAATCCATGAACTGCTGACAAGGGTGGCATCTGTACAAGTGTCTGTTCCTAGGAGCACCCTGGCGTTGGGAGAAACGTTGGAACATTGTACCAGTAGACACACCTTAATCTGAGTTTGGGAGAATAACAGATTTTTCAATAAAAGGGACTATGGAGTAAGAAGCATTTTTCATGGAACTTCAACAGAGGGCAAACATTGCCAGTTCTTACATCACCAACACCCAGCTGTGGATGCCACAGCACATCCTGGCACTTGTATCCCTCAAGTTATCACTATAACAGTGATGTAAATTATAAAGGCTAAAAAAGCCAAGAATAGGTGTGTGCTTAAGGGAATTTAGCACATAACAACAGTGAAAAAATTCCAAACAGGTAGATTCTTTTAGTGAATTTGAATTTGAATTTGGATTTGAACTTTGAATCTAGCTTTGAAATTGAATCTCGAGGAAACCATGACAACTGTTTTTACAGAAACAAAAAGGGACCCTGAGATTAATTCATATTTTTAACAATAGGCTTTCAGGTACTAAAATATATAATTCTCAAATTTAAGAATTAGAAGAAATAAAGAAGTAGGTGGTGATTGTAAAGAATTAGATTAATATCCCATAATCTTGAAGTAGTAAAAATGCAAAGAAAGTGGGGCGCCTGGGTGGCGCAGTCGGTTAAGCGTCCGACTTCAGCCAGGTCACGATCTCGCACTCCGTGAGTTCGAGCCCCGCGTCAGGCTCTGGGCTGATGGCTCGGAGCCTGGAGCCTGTTTCCGATTCTGTGTCTCCCTCTCTCTCTGCCCCTCCCCCGTTCATGCTCTGTCTCTCTCTGTCCCAAAAAATAAATAAAAAACGTTGAAAAAAAAATTTTAAAAAATGCAAAGAAATTGACAAGGGATTTGTAATGCATACCCAGGAAATCTGCCATGTGAAAAATAGAAGTTGAAGAAAATGAAAGTGGTTGGGGAGAGACAATAACTGCTGAAATGATAGGTAAGAATTTTCTGCACCTATGAACAGGTGTATGCTATATGTGTGTGCACATGCTCTGGAAGAACTTCTGTATTCTAGTTTTTTTTTTTTTTTTTAACTTAACAAGCTACCTTGTTAACAAAAATAACAAGTTAATTGCAAAAGAAAACCAATTAGACCGGTGTTTAACTTCTCCTTTATAATATCAAAGGAAAGAAATATATGGAGTAACATCTACAGGGTACTAAAAAAATAATAATAAAGGATTGGAATCTACATCTATGCACAACTCAGAATCATTCACCTAATGGAAATGAAGCTTTTGCATTGATATGCAAAAATGCAAAACCATATTATCCTATACCCATCAGAGGAAGTATTTAAATGGAATTAATACCAAACAACAAACTAATAGAACGGATTTCTTAGGTACCATGATGGAGGACTGTGAGGGAAGAAAGATCCTCCCAGGAAGAAAAGTGAGTTTTGTTATCCTTGTCCTGCAATATTTGTGCATGTTTTACATCAGGAGCATGTTCTCACTTTATGTACATTTGTACTGTCGCTATTGGAATTTTCTTTCACTATTTTAAAATGGGAATGTATGTCTGAGTTAAGTTTTATTATTAATCATAAATTTTAGAATAGTGAGAAACCATATTCACAATGATAAGAAGGCACACGTACTGAAGTTTCTGCTTTTACATATGGACCTTTAATTTGGGTGGATTTCAAATGATCTCTTTTGGAAATAGGGTGATTGTGTTTCAAATGTACATAAAATAGTTGAATTGAGTCCATCAGGCACAGGTTTTGAATTATGTATTTGTTGGAAAAGATTGTTTTGGGAATGCCAGAAATCAAATTGTGAAATATAGTGAGTACATTGTTTGGTCAGCTTATCTCCTTTCATTAGGGAGCAACCAAAGTCCTGCTCTATATAATTCTCTATTCAATTGTGTTCAGCCTGGTGTTATTCTATTTATGGATTTTTTTAGTACCTACTTATTTTATTATCAAGACTTTGAATGATCTTCCTTTAAATTCATATCATATTGTTTCAATCTGCATATATTTTTTTAATTTTTTTAACGTTTTATTTATTTTTGAGACAGGGAGAGACAGAGCATGAACAGGGGAGTTTCAGAGAGAGGGAGACACAGAATCTGAAACAGGCTCTAGGCTCTGAGCTGTCAGCACAGAGCCCGACGCGGGGCTGGAACTCACGGACTGTGAGATCATGACCCGAGCCGAAGTCGGCCCCTTAACCGACTTAGCCACCCAGGCGTCCCTTAATCTGCATATTTTTTTTTTAATTTCTTAAATGATCTAAAACACATTCCTACTATAATTTTATGCGGAGTGAATTTATCATGAGTGGCTAATCAATGTATGTATCTTTCTTAGTGCTATACTAAATATAATTTGGAACTTTAGTTTGTAGACATTTTGAGAAAGAAAATCTCGTTATTATTCATATTTGTGTTCTCTCCTTACTTTAATTGCTTATCTAAATCATACCCACCCCTTCACCCCGCCATTTCCCAAAGCAACAACAATCATAGTTCTGCTAGTCCAACTTGTTAGGCACAGTTTTGTCACCTCCAGGACCCAAACATGTTAGTCTTTCTTTTTTTTCCACCCAGGTCCAGAGCTTTGTAGGTCTATAATGTCAGCCCTACTCACTGTTTCTTTTGTTTTATCTATTTCTTATCCACAGAAATATTTGTCATCTTTTATTTTTGATACCAGCTATGATTATTTTGTTTTCCTCTATTATTAAATTATCTATTATTAATTTGGGGGTCTGTATTACATGGAAATCTTCTCTTGTTATGCCCAGAATTCGTGATCCCCAAAGACCGCCAGGGAGCCGAGTCCGATGCAAAAGCAAAGAGCCTTTATTTGAGCTAGCTCGAGCTCAATCCCCTACCTGCACCGACGCAGCGGTGAGATACTGGGGAGAGAGAGCGAGTTTCAAATGCACAAAGGTTTTATTGGGGTCTAGGGGCAGTTGATGAGGTAATGGCTGTGGCCTCAGCCGATTGGCTGGGGAAGGGTCGGAGTCCTGTTACGCAGGTCGCTGGGCGTGTTTTGATCCGGAAGTTTGAAAAGGTAAGCGGGAGGTTACTCAAGGGGAGGAGGCGTGGTCAAGGTGGAGGACAGAGCAAGATGGAGTCGCCGGTGTAGGTCCGCCCTTTCACTCTCTTTTATACAGATAGACACTTTATTTTATTCCTGTTAACAGATTCCTAATCCCAGTTCCCTCCCCCTGTAAGCACCTATTCTTTTGTTCATAACTTGTATTCTTCTCAAAGGACTATCAATGACTTATTTACATCACTGTGTATCTTTTAATAATATATAGCATATTTTGATGTGTTTTATGCTCGTAAGTTGCATTATGCAATACATCTTGTTATGTGATCTATCTCAAGAAAATGTTATGATTCTGATTTTTACTGAACATTTTACTTTTGATGTCTATCTCTGCTGATATAGGTAAATCTTGTTCTTTCCACCGTTATATAATATTCCTTTGTGTGCATATCACATATTTTCCTTAATTTCTTTTCCTTGACAGCATTCTTAAATCTTTGTTCTGCAAAGCATGCTGAAGATGGACATCATCACACATTTATTTCCGTAAGTGTGGGAGCACTTCTGTAAGACATAATAGGCATGATTTCCAGCTGGATGGGGAGAGCTGGATCTTTACCCCTGGGGATGCTTGGATGTCTGGTTTTTGACTTCCCCAAGGTAAGGGCAGTGGAATTTCTAATGTTTGTTTAGAGTTTGAAATCCCCCTGACAAAATCAAGATGAGCTTCTTTACTGATAATTTGCAACTGAATGAGCCTCACTTAACTACTTAACAAGCCACTGAGAGGTTTTGGAAGGAGCTCTCCCAAAGACAAATTCCTCATGCAGATTTTGGCAGTTCAGGTCTGGGAATCAGACTACTCCCATGGCACAGAGGTTGAGCCCAGAAGGAGTTTCTACTGTGGATATCTCAGATCTCTGATGCTTGCTTGTATTCACTAAATAAAAGCCTCAAGTGGGTATATTTTTGCGTCTGGCTAGTTCAAATATCTGAACTGGGAAAAACAATACAGACCTATCCCCAGGAGTAAAATTGCTGAGTCATAGAGTATGTTTCTGTTAAATTTCAATCAATTGCAGAAAATTCTCCTGAATGACTGTACTAGACCAAAATGTCCAGGACTTTCCACTTTTCTTCATTCTCACAAACTCTAGATGTCACCTGAAATTTTTTAATTTCTATCAACATGATTGATGTACAAAGGTATGTTAGCGTGCCTTTAATGTACACTTCCCTGATTCCTAAGGTGTTCACATATCTCTTCGAAAATATATTGAATGTTCAGGTTTTCCCTTTGTAAATTGCATATTTTAATCCCTTACCCATTTTTATTGTGTTTTCTGTCATTTTTCTTGAGGAATTCCTTAAATATCCTTGATATTAATCTTCATCTAATTTGCGACTTTTCTGTTAGCTAAATCTGTTATAACTCTACTTCAATTCCCTCTTTTATAAAGTAGAAACTGTAATAGTACTTATAACTTTTTTTCCTCTAAAGATTAAACAAGATGATACATGTGAAACACTAGGACGACATTTGATACTTAGTGAGAATTCAGTGTATACTAGCTATCTCTTAAGCTTTTTCAAATTGTACTACTTTTGTTGGACCTAAATATGCACATAAACTTAGATTTAAATTGAATTTTAATCTATATTTAAATTGAATGATTTCTTCTGTACTATATTTAATCCAGGATCAAAGTCTCAGGCTAGACACAGGAAGTTTAGAATATACACAATAGTGACAGAGGGAGAAGATATGGCTGGGAAATCTGAAGCCATTACTCTGTACTTGAACTCACATTAGCCTGGCACTCCAGTCTGTGTGGGAAGCTGACTCTGCCCTTAAAGCTGACCTGCCTTTCTTCAGCAAGCACCTGACCTGCTGATGATGGAGGGATTGCATATCTTCATCTGGGCACATTTTTATCCATTGAATCTGTATATTTGTATTTTCAAAACTGCAACACTTTCATCACCATTACTCTTGCCCCTAGTGTGTGATTTATCATCCAACATGTCAAAATATTTTGAAAAAGTTATCATGAAAGACGGAGTCTAAGTTGAATCTGATTTCTTTACTGGAGAAGAACAAACCTAGAAGGGAAAGAATAAAATACACTAGAAAGTCTTGATAGGGAATAGAATCACTCATAAAGTCATGAGGCAAAATGTATTTTCTAAAATGTATAATTGGCAAAGAGAGATAGATTTGAAAAACAATGGGTCAATTGGAATGTGCATGGAGTGTTCTTTTAGTAGAAACTTTTCCTTTTAGTTGCTAAACAAATTCTCTAAATATTGAAAATATTTCAGAAGTTCTCAGGAAATGATCATTAAAGTAAACTGCTAGTGTTTGATAAATTCCCACCCTAGTGTCCTTTCTTGGTTCTTTCAATCAATACCTCTGTTCTTGGCCAGATTTTTTACCAGCAAAGAGTTCTGGGGAGCATATTATATTCATTTATCTAAATCAGATCAGTCTAAAATGCACACTGTCCTAAATTGTGTAGTTCAATCTAGATTGATAAAGATATTCCATCTCCTAAAAGTAGTTTCTGAAGTACTCTGTTAAGCAGATGAAAGATCACATGTAGGCACAGAGAAAAAGAATATGATGTGAGTTCCATTATCAGAGACCTCCACAGGCAAAGGAGAAAGGGAGTAGTTTCATGTGTGTATAGACTCTTCTCTGATGCCTTCTTTGACTTCCGTAAGCAAAATCATCATTACCTCTTCCCAATACCAGGGGGATATACTTTCAGAATACCATGAATAATTTAATTATAATTATGTTCTCTGGAGACCTAATAGATTACATGTAAATATGAAATAACTACTTTCCTTGGAAGCTTTTAGATCACCCATCTATTGGCCTTTATTACATTAATCAATAAATTTCAATTAACTAATCAAGTAGATTATAAAATATTATAGATTTAAGGATTGTGCATATGCTCAAACTTTCCAAACTGAGCTAACCCTCTTATGTAATTAAATGAGCAATATAGGTGTGCTCTGATGTTTGGATTATTAAGAAGCTCTTACTAGATAACACACTGTTCCATAAACCATATGCAAATACACTCAAGTCTTACAAACATAATGAGGAATGTTCTTTTTATTATATTGTTACAATTGTATCTTAATCAAGATGTAGAACCCAAGAAACAATAGTAATAGACACACTAGTCATATCTCATAAATCATGAATGGGACTCATTAAATAAGCAAAGACTTGGGTCAATTCTTAGGCTAAGAGGCAGAGTTGCAAAGAATAAGCTTTTCATAAAATCTTAGCTGAAAATAGAAGAACAATCTTTTGTGAGCTTAAAATGGTAAGGTGTGTGTGTGTGTGTGTGTACGCGCGTGCGTGTGTGTGTGCGTGTGAGTGTATGTGTGCGTTTCTCCAACCATTCCTACAATTCTTCATAACAGAAGCAATTTCATATTTTAAAGAGTTGACTATGGGTGTATGCGATAATGAAGAAAGTAGATCTGATAAAGCAAATTCCTCTTCCTAGTGCTTCCACAGCTAGAGTTTAATACCTGGTGGGTATTTTTTAATCTGATGGTTTCTCAAATGATATGTTTGCCTTATTGGTATTTTTCCTTTATTTTAATTAAAATTGCATACCTTTGCCATGTTTTACTTATAAACTTTTGCAATGGTATGAAAATATTGACTAAAATAGTCTTTTCAGATCAGTGGCTAAAAACATGGTAGTATTTTAACATACTTTCCTATTTGAAAACCAAAAGTAGATCTTTGAATATAAGAGGAATTTAAATATTAGCTTTTAAAAAATAAACACATGTTATTTATATGGAATAACTTTTTCTTTATTGGTTAGTACCTTCTCATCCTAAAACCCCATGTTCATTTCCAAAAATGCTGAGTCTAAACTGTAAACAGATCCTCAAGCTCAAGTTTTAGAGTTTTGTTTTCTTTTACTTTTCTATTCCATTTCATATTTTTTGTTCTTGATTACAATTGATGATGCTTTAATATATTTAATTTATCAATGTAACTGGTTAATAGTTTCTGGTAAAGAGAGACAATGCAGAGGCAATAGAATTAATTAAATAATCTAACAGCCTGAGTTAAACATTTAATTGCCTATGTAACAGGTTGTAGAGAAAGATAAACCTCATGCTCAAGAAACAAACACTCTAGAAAGGGAGGTAATCATGCCTACAAATAAAGTAAGAATTCAGCCTGTGCTAAGGACTATTAAAGAACAGTACAAAAAGTGCTACAAGCACAAAAATGAAGAGATATATTTTTATGAATAACAAAAGGAAAGGCTGTGAGAGCAGAAGAGAAGACGTAAAGGAGAATGAGAATAAATTAAATCAAGATTTACACTGTAGAAAAAGTGATAGGCACAAGAGTGTGGGGAATAAGTTTAGGAATTCCCTGAGCCTGAACCAATGGTGAACAAGGCATAAAGAATTAGAAAGCCATAGGATCAACACATCCAAGTTTGGGTAAACAAGATTAGATAAGTAAGATTAGGTAAACAGGGCAAAGGCCCCCAGTATAGGACAAAGATATATATAGGGGATGAAAGCATCAAAAGTGAGGTAAACAAAACTAGGTATTCAGGGCGGAAAAAGCCCCCCAGGGCAAAGTTGCCCAGAGTGGAGCTAACTAACAAAAGAAAGGTGCCTTGTTGATCCTGAGGTAGCATGTTCTGTCCTTCTTGTCCCCTAGGCAAGTTTAGGTAAACAGGTGGCCCTCATGTCTGCTGTAAACAACCATCTGCCTTGCACCAGGAATTTGGCACCAGAACTTTGTTTTGTATTGACCCAAACCCCTAACACCACATATCTTCACCGCATATCTTCGAACCCTCTCCCTCATGCCAGTGAATTAATGTTCACGCTTTTATTGTCTCTTTGTGCACGCCCATCACGCTTGTAAGCCTTCTGGTCCTAATAAAAACGGAGCAAGGACACTTATTCAGGGTTCTTGACTCCTCCTGGACATTAACGTTTCTCGCATTTTCAATCCTGCATCTGCTCTCTTGCCAGACAAGAGAAAACTCCAGACCCAGAATCTACAACAGATGGTGACCCCAACATGATCGGACGCAAGAGGACTATAGGCTGATGTGCACTGAAATCGATGTGGCCAGTAGGAGGTGCGACACAAGGACTGTAGGGTGCTGCGGAAACACTAAAGAGCTCCAAGAAAAATGCACTGGGTTACAGTCTCTTCCTGAAGAGGTAAGAGATAAAGCAAGTCTATATTAGGATTCACTGCCGCAGAACTTTTGAGAGATTTATTATGGGAGACTCCCTGCGCTGATAACAGTAACAATATATTCGTAATTTGCAATCACTGGAAAAGATGGCCTACACTATCCAAAATCAGAAAGCACTCCTTAAATTATTAATGATTACCCAGGAACACTGCCCTTGGTTCCCAAAACAAGGAACTTATGGTCTTGATATTTGGGAACAAGTAGGGGAAATATTTAAAGCTCGGCATTCTAAGGAGGCTAACATCCTCCCTGAGGTAATCCTCACTTGGTCCATTGTCCATACTGCCCTTCTCCTCTTGAGTTCAGACAATGTATGTAAAGATTAAAATTACCCAAAGTAGAGGAAAAATCTGAGCTTTTTTATAGTCAGCCTGTGCCTTTGGTGCCTTTATAGCCAAGAGATTTTCCTCCTCCCTGAAAAAGTTGCGATAATATCAAGCCTCTAAAAACCTCACTGACCAGTTCTGATAAAGTCCTCACCCCAGTTCAAAAGTACATTAAGAAAGCCCATAAGGGGGCGCCTGGGTGGCGCAGTCGGTTAAGCGTCCGACTTCAGCCAGGTCACGATCTCACGGTCCGGGAGTTCCGGGAGTTCGAGCCCCACGTCGGGCTCTGGGCTGACAGCTCAGAGCCTGGAGCCTGTTTCCGATTCTGTGTCTCCCTCTCTCTCTGCCCCTCCCCCGTTCATGCTCTGTCTCTCTCTGTCCCAAAAATAAATAAACGTTGAAAAAAAAAAAAAAAAGACAGCCCATAAGGCTGGTAAATTCCAGCTGTTTCCCGTTGTCAGGCAAAATAGGCAATACATCCATGAAGTCCTGCTCTTTCCAATAGTAAAAGAATTGCAAAACTCAGTTCAGCTGTTTGTCCCTCACAGCCCTTTTACAACTGGCATTTTAGAAAATATTTGTGGCACGTTTCTATCTGTGCCTGGGACTGAGGTTCTCCTATGAACATCCTTCTGACCTTGTTACGGAACCACGCTGGAACACTGGTTTAAAAACCAACCAGCACTCAGAGATCTTGGTGGATTGGAGATTTATTTAACATCGGCGGGCTCAGAGGGAACCATTTCTCCAAAGATCTGAGCGCCGAATGCAAGCGGGAAAGGTAATTTATAGCTGCCCGCCTCCATATTTGTGTGGGAGTTTTCATGCACGTGCCAAACAGGGCAAGAAGAACCCGGAAGAGGGGTTTCTAAGCCAGAGACCAGAGTTTGTTTTAGTCTCGTCAGCCATCTTATAGTGTAAAACTTTATTCATTCTCCCAACATTCCCCCCCTTGATACCATTTTAAAAATTTTTATTAGGCATCCCTCTTTAGTTCTAGGGGTTGGTACCCTCGGAGGGTTAAGATAAGTGCTGCAGTTTGGCGGACAACAGTATTTTCAGTAAAACGTACCAGGGTATTTAGTATACAGGGGCCAATGGTCACAATTAAAATTATGGAAAGGAGGGGCCCTTCCAGGGCAGGGAGCCAGGATGCCCAGTCTTTGAGATCCCATTCTTTCCATTGACTGATATTTTCCTGTTGTCTACATTCAATTCTTTCCTTGAGTCCCTTAATCTTAGTTGTAACTATCTTTGACTGGTTTATGAAATAGCAACATTCCTCCCCCAGAAAGATACAAGTCCTTCCTTTTTCTGAAGTGAGGAGGTCGAGGGCTCGCCTATTTTGGAGGGACACTGCTGCCAGGGAGTTTATTTGGCTTTGTAAGGTTACCAGGGAGTCTGCCATCTGTTCCATGTCCTAGTTTGTTGATGCAGTCTGTATTAGCCCAACAGCAAGGATCAAGATCAGGGCTATGACACCAGTAAGGGGCAAGGGCTGGCAGAGTTGCATCCGAACCCCTGGGCTCAGCCCACATGTTGATTCCTCAAGCTTCAGTGATATGCAGGCCAGCCAGCTTCTGGGGTGTGGCTGGAGCAGGGCTGGAGATCTCAGGGGCCAGTGTCTTTTTGAGGGTCAGTTTAAGCAGATTGACTGGATCTGGATCACTTCGCCAGCTTGAGGGTTACTTTGAATTGGTCTTCTTAACTCTGGAGTGATGGACCTGTGGGGTGATACCTGAAACTGAATCCTCTATTTGGTGGTATATCTGTAAAGTCCATCTCCAAGTCTTCGAAAGGGGTAGGTTTCTGGGAACTAACTGTCAGATCAGGTTTAGGGAAGATATGATTTGCATGTTTAGAGATCCATCCTGTTTTCCAGTTGTTTAAATAATCATATGCCCATGGGGTCTTATTATTATCCCCATAGAATAACAAGCACAGAAGATTGCCTATACATGAAATACTGTGACAATTTTCTGAAGTTTACCTCAAGTTTAGGCAAACAACAAACATTTAAAGGCAATCATAACTAGAATTTAACATCCAAAACGGTGCATTGTTGAAACATAGTTGTTCTCTCTAAACCTCCCCCACCCCTTTCCAGGGATAGCCAAATTGAGACCAATGCATTTGTAGAACAAATCCAGTCTTAACAAATCTGGCTTAATTGTTTACATAAGCACAGCAAGAACAGTGATTGATCATGAGGATCCTTTAAAGTTTGCTTTGCTGAAACCTTTTATAAGGAATTTCCAGTTTGAACTTTTAGTAGCATCTCCAGGCCAAAAGCCAAGCCAAATACTTACCATCAGACAGGCCTGCAATACCTGTAGAATTGGGCGGATTCCTCTTCATGAGGTCCCCAAGATATCCTGAGGTTCCTGCGCCTGCCAGGAAGTGACCTTCTTTACTCACCTGGTGAGGCTGCTGGGAACTCTGTAAGCAAGGCATGAGGCCACATTTCCAAGGGGCTTTATGGCTCCATGTTTTATAAAGCCAACCCTAGTTCTTTAAAGCTGTCTGGTCATATCTGAGTCTATGAATGTCATCATCAAATATGACATTCCAGTCAAAGCCTTGGTAAAATAACCAGTATTTCCAATGGTGACCTGTTACAAGATGAAGAGATTCTTATTGAACTTATGCAAACAACGGTAATTTCCATGAAAGAAAGAATACTCATTGAGAGTTTTTGAATTTCAGGGGAATTATATAGAGAGAAAAGATAAATGCTTCAGTTTACAAATGAATACTTTATGAAATTTTTGTATATCATAGACATCTTAAGAGAAAGTTTCCTTTTTTTTTTGAAGCTTATGTTGTTTTATTTTTTATTTTTTTTCAATATATGAAATTTATTGTCAAATTGGTTTCCATACAACAGCCAGTGCTCATCCCAAAAGGTGCC